GTCCAAGGTGGCAAGGGCATCGTGGGCCGAGATGCTGCCATGCTCGACCACAGCGATGTTGCCAGGGACGGTGACAAGCTCATCGATGTTGCCAGGGAGGGTGACAGGCTCAGCATCCTCGACCACTACTACTACCGCCGCCGCCTCCGCCTCCTCCTGCGCGCGGGTCTCCAGCGCGGCCGCGCGGCTCGGGCGCAGCTCCAAGGGGCGGCCGCCTGCCGCCACTGCCTCGACCGCTGCCCCCTCCACGGGGCGGCATCCAGGCATTTGTCTTGGCGCGCCGCCAGGGGCAAGGATCGCACCATCGTGATCTCCATCAGCCAGGGGCAGGGTCACGCCTTCACGGCATTCATCGTCAGCAGGCCCGCGCCCAGCGTCAGGCTCACTGGCAGCAGAAAGAAAAAGAGCTTGATGAAAAGCCTCGGCCACCCCAGCAGCGGCACGCTGCGCCCCGGCCACCGCAACAGCAATGGAGGCCGCATGACGGGTCGCAAACTCCTGATCGGCCGCGGCATCCTCGACTCGCATTGCCTCAAGCACGTCCGCAAACCTGGGGCGCAGCTCAACGGGGCGACCTCTCGCCGCCTCTGTCGCGCAGGGCTCCGCGGGCGAACCACCTTCCGCCGCCTCCGCCAGGCGGCCGCCCGCCGCCCCCGCTGCCGCCTCTGGGCTGCGGCCCCGCCTCCGCTTGCCAGGACTAAGCAGGAAGTCTGCCAAAGAGGCCAGTCGGCGATCGGTCATCTTTCCCTGCAGCTCGAAAAACTTGGGCCGAGAGGGCTCCGCGACGGTCCAACGACCTGCTGTCGAACGCAGGCGATCCGAGAGGGCTCGAACCTGAACTCCTGGAGGCCTCCGACCACGTCGGCTTCAGGACATGGGCTCACGCTGTATACAATGTGGGGGATCTGTTTCACGATGTCGTTTACAAGCTAACGAAGCTTTCATTGCAGACATTCCAAACAAATGGGGATTCGTGAGCTAGCGATTTTGCCGCTTCTTCAAACATGAAGATATCGCTCAAGACATTCTCACAATACGGACGCGCCGAAACAAAGAAGAGAGCTCCCCTATGTCCACTCCAGAGGTTCTGGGGCCCGTGCGGAGGAGGAAAAGATGACGGAGGAATGAGAAGGGGGAGGAAAGGATGAGGAAGGAGGAATAAGATGGAGGAGGAAGGAACACGAAGGAGAAGGAAAGAGGAGGGAGGAGCGAGGAAGGAAGAAGTGAGGAGAAGGACGAATGAAGAAGGATGATGAGGATTAAGGAGGATGAGGAAGGGAGAGGCACAGGATGGGGAGGAGGGGAGGCGTGAAACAACCGCCCTCGTGAAACCACCGTTCCTGGTGCAAGTTTCTTAGGAGGAGGAGGAGGAGGAGGAGGAGGAGGAGGAGGAGGAGAAGGAGAAGGAGGACGAACGAGGAGGACGAACGAGGAGGACGAACGAGGATGACGAGGACGAGGACGAAGACGAGGACGAACGAGGACGAACGAGGAGGAGGACGAGGAGGAGGGGGAGGAGGAGGGGGAGGAGGAGGAGGAGGAGGAGGAGGAGGACGAGGAGGAGGAGGAGGAGGAGGAGGAGGAGGAGGAGGAGGACGAGGAGGAGGAGGAGGACGAGGAGGAACGAGGAACGAGGAGGAGGAGGAGGAGGAGGAGGAGGAGGAGGAGGAGGAGGCTGGCTTCGAGGGGCGAGGCGCGCGGCAGGCGGCCTCCGGCTCGCGGCGCGCCGCCGCGCTCGCCGGGCTGCAGGACCGGGCAGAGGGCGACGCAGCGATGCGGTCGCGCGCTGGCAGAGGGCAGCGTCACCCCGTGCCCACGAGGTGGGGCCCAGGGGGGGGATAGGCCTCAGGGGGCCACGTAGGTTTGTGGAAGTCGACTAATGGAGAGGAAGCGTGCTGCGAAATAATTCTCAGATGCCTAAAATAAGTTTCAAACGTGTTTAAATCTGTAAAGGCATGCTTCAAACATGCTTATAGCATGTGTTACACGTTTTAAACACTTGTAAATCAACGATCGGATTGTTCGAGTGTCCATTGTCATGGCATCCACAGACGTAGGCGAGGTTCTCGCACATCCAGGCGAACGAGAGGCCCAGGCGCGCGGGTAGCATAAGCCATCACTGGCCTTTGACTGCGCCTGCGTCCGTTCCGAAGCTCTTCCGCTCCCCATCCGCTCCTGTCTTCGCCCCCGCGCCTGCGCTGGCGCTGTGGAGCAGCGCGCGCCGCCTCGGCGCGGAGGGTCCGTGCGGGCGGCCGGCGCTCCAGAGCTCTGGGGTGTAATTCCCGGGAGGCCAAGCTCAGAATCGGCGTTGATATGTTCCTGGTCGAATCGACGGGCCTGGTTTTGTTGAATCCCGCTTCATCTAGCCTCGTTCCGCTTCCTCCGGTTCACGCCGCGACCGGCTGCGTCGGTCCACGGAGGCGCCCGCTGTCCGCTCCCAGACCTGGGAACGAGCACGCGCTCCCCGCGCGGACCCCCGACGCTTGCTGCTTATGCTGCTTGATGCTGCCTAGATCTAGGCCTCCCAGATGGGGTCGGAGCTGATGGGGTCGGAGGATCGCGCCGCATCGCCGATGCATCGCCGATGCAGCTCGATGTGGCGCCCCATTTCCTCCACGTCGACGTCGCCGATGCATCGCCCACGTCGACGCCTCATCGCCGGTGCATCGCCGATGCATCGCCGATGCATCGCCGATGCATCGCCGATGTATCGCCGATGCGGCGCGGTCCTCCGACCCCATCTACTCCGACCCCATCTAGGAGCCCTCTACTAGAGCGGCCCACTGGCCCAGGAGTTGCCTTCTGAAGAGCCGAGGCCCCAGCGGCAGCGGGCGCTCGAGATCCCAGAGAGGGCCTGCGGCCGGCGGGCAGAGTCGGCTCGGCGACGGGTCATCCCGGACTTCGCTCGCGCTCCTGGCGCTCTCGGCCGTCCCCTCGGCACAGCGGCTGGTCATCCCAGACCTCGCCCGCGCTCCCTGCGAAGCCAGCCGTTGCCTCGGCACGGCGGCTGGTCACCCCAGACCTTCCTCGTGCCTCGCGCTCACAGCCGCCCCCTCCGGCACGGCGACAGGTCATCCCAAACCTCGCTCGCGCTTGGCGCTCACAGCCGTCCCCTCGGCACGGCGACTGATCTTCCTGGACTCCCGCCCGCTCCTCGCGCTCACAGCCGACCCCTCGGCTCGGCGATTGATCTTCCCAGACCTCGCCCTCACCTTGCGCTCTCAGCGGCACTGCTGGGGCGCGGAGGTCCCTGACCTCCTCGCACCGTGGGAGCAAATCACTGCGATGGGCTTTCATTCGCCGTTTTCCGGGCTCTGGGGGCCCATTGCTGGGCCCAGGGCTTCGGGGACGAGGAGCAGGTTCCATGCGAGCGGTCTCCACTAGCAGGGGTCTCCACTGCGAGAGGTTGTGTTTCTTTACAGCAGTTCAAAGCAGTTCTGGGGAATGCAATTCGATGCAGCATTATGCATTGTTTTGCCTACCTTGGCGATGATTGCCACTGCTTGTAATCGTTGCTTGACATTGCTTGGCAGTGCCTGGCATTGCCCAGCATTGCGCAGGCAACCCTGTGCAAGGCATTGCTTAGCATTGCCTGGCGCTGCACGAGCCACCCCGTGCAAGGCATTGCTTGGCTTTGCCTGGCATTGCACGAGCAACTCCGTGCAGGGCATCTCTTAGAGTTGATTGGCATGGCTAAGCACTGCGTGGCGATTCTGGGCGTTGCTTGGCATTGCTTGGTATTGCTTTGCACTGCTTGGCGCTGCTTGGCATCGCTTGGCGTTGCTTGGCATTGTTTTGCACTGCCTCGTATTAATTACGTGGCGGTGCTTGGCTTTGCTTGGCATTGCTTTGAAACGTTTTGCACGTGTTGCGTTGCTTGGCGTCGCTTTGTTTTGCTTGGCATTGTTTTGCATTGCTTGGCACTGGCGTTACCTCTGATTGCTTGACATTGGTTGGCGGTGCGTGGCATTCCACGGGCAACATTGCACGGGACATCCAGGGCACCCCCCCAGGGAACGCCAGCGGGGAAGGACCCCGCACTGATTTGTTTGGTCCACGAACAAGTCAGCACCGAGTAGGCAGGGCCTATCACATTGCTTGCGCCATGCTTCTGACCACACATCGCATGCACCACATCGACTGGACCACTACCGTGCACCACAGTTATAGCACACCGTGGGTTGCACAGGTTTTGCGGCACACCAGTCGCCCTTCCCAGATTTGGTGCCACATAAGTTGCACAGTTTGCGCCCGATAGGATAGGTTCTACCACATAAACCGCATCCAATGTATTGTCACACAGAGGTGCCCCCCCCCCATACACATCGCACACGATTGCTCATCGTGAGTGCAACCGCGCTGGCAAGCATTTTCTCACACGGAACCCTGGGGGATGAGGCACGAAATTTCTGTTGGGCTCAAGTTGCCGCTATGCCAACGAAGGGTGTCAACACAACCACCGGCGGAAGCACCGAGGGAACACCGAGCCATAATCCCAAGGCTTCGGCTGTAGGGCTGCCCCGTTAACGATGATTGGGCGAACCATCTCCGCGCGCCTCCTGATTTGCCCGCCCGCTTCAGCCTACCTACGGCAGGTTCGCGTCGTGTCGACACGGCGGCGACGCCTGCGCGGGCGCGCAAGGTTGAGAACGCGCCGTCGGTGGCCCAGGATCGGCCGACATCCCACGGCCTGCGCCGTGGGAAGACCGCGCTCTGTCGGGTTGAGCGCTGCACTCAGTGTCAGAAGCCCACGCGCAGAGCGTCACCATTCAAGCCTTGATGGGCTTGTTTTCCACCAGCACCACCACAAGTTGGAGGGGGAGGGAGTCGTCCTCCTCCTGCTCCTCCTCCTCCTCTTCCTCCTCCTCGTCCTCCACCTCCTTCCCCCCTCCAACTTGTGCTCGTGGTGGTGGAAAACAGACCCACCAAGCCTGCCGTGCGGGCCGTGCGGGGGTTCCTCCCTCCCTCCCTGCTGCCTCGCCTCGCTGCGGCCGCCGCAGGCCGCCCCCGAGCTGCTGTGCTTCTTCGTACCCTTCCTGCTGATCGTGTCCATCGTTCTCATGAACCTGGTCCCGGCCCTGCCCACGAGGGCGGCGGCGGAGGGAGGATCGCGAAGGGAGCGACGAGGAAGAGGCGGCGGGAGAAGGCGGGAGCGAGAGGAAGGGGGTGCATGAGTGGCGCAAAAGGGGAGCGAGCCGGCGGAGGTGGAGGGGCGACCCGCCGCGGAGAGGGGGCGGGGCCCCGCGGGAGCACGCCGTGCGGGCGCTCGCGGCGCCGCTCTATCGGGCTCCCCCGGGGCCCTCTCCGCGGGCGCGGGCACACGGTCCGGCCGCGAGGCCTGGAGGAGCGGCGGGCCCCGGGGGACGGCCCCGAGGTTCGGGCCGGGCGAAAGGGGGGGATTGGGAAAGGGGGGGTTACGAAATCTGCTGCATGCAGCTGGTTTCGGCCTCACCGAGGGGCCCATTCCTGGATACACAGCCGCCTCCGGCGCCGGGAGTCGCCGGGAAAATCAGCTACGTGAGCTGATTCTCAAACCCCGCCTTTGCTATCCCCCCCTTTCGCCCGACCCGACCGAGGTGCAGGACCCGTCTCTCTCTCGGGACTCGCTGTGCGGGTCGCGTGCCAAGATGAGGTCGGGCCTGTCCCCCTGCAGGGGGATGTGCGGCGAAAAACAGAAAAGATACCCCAAACATTGTAAAACAATAGTCCAAGACTAGTCTAGGGACGATGTTTGGAGTATCTTCTGGCCTTTTTGGGGTATTATTGGTGTATCTCTCATTTTTCGTAGAAATTCCCCCTGTAGGGGGACAGGCCCGACATAATGCCAAGATGAAGGGGAGGAGGAAGTGTACAGCTCTCAGGTCAGCTTCAGCGTCAGCGGTCGATTTTCCGTCCCCGCGGGGGGTGTTCGAGTTCTGTTATGTCATCCACCCAGAAAGCCCCCTCCTTTCCCCCTCCACAATGACACAGTCTGAATACTACTCTCCTCTCTCCCCTGACTGTGCGGAAGATGTTCGGCCCTCTCCACGTATCATGTTATACACCAAATTGCAACATTTGCTCTTTCTTACTTTGGTTGTGCTTACCGTCGAAAGGTGTTATGTCTTAGTTTGTTGTGTTTGCTATCCGATTATATTCGGCGTTTCAGCATGGCGTTCCCGCTGCAGTGTGGGCCAGATTTTCGGATCGGCGCTTTGCTCCCGTCGTTCATAATGGCGCTCTCGCCCTATCGTGGGTCACTTTTCTGGATCCGAGCCCTTTTTAATCGTTGTCGCCCCCCGCCTTCCCTGGTTCTCCTGCTCCTCCCGCTCCTTCACTCCAGTTCCTGCTGCTGCTGTTCGTCCTCGTCCTCCTGCTTCCTCATCCTCCTTTTCCTCCTGCTTATCCTCCTGCGCACCCGCCACCACCTCCCCCTCATATGTTCACAGCTTCCCTTTTCCAATTGCGCGAAACACGCTGGGGTCTTTTTGGATACCCAGATCGGCTATGACACGCGTCCGCGGATGGAGAAAACAATCGGACAAATGGGAAGGGATGAGAGGGATGGATAGAGCATCAGATATGGCGCGAGCGCACCTAGCTTGTCTCCCCCCACGCCGCCCTTTCTGTGTTTCCCCCCTTTTGGCCCCCCTTGTGGGGCTGGAGGCGAGTCTGCTGCTGTGCCGTGATGGTCTCCCGAGCGACGAGAAGAGAGGCACCCAGGCAGGGCCACCACGGAGTTGCGCATCAACCTAGACGACCCGAAGGTTGCCCCCAGAGGCCCCCAGATGCCCCCCCCAAACGCCCAAGATGGCCAACCATGGCCCCAGCATGGCCACCACATGCCCCGAGAGACGCCAAGAGGACCCCGTGGTTGCCCAGGTCGGCCCTCGGACCGCGATCTGTGGTCCGAAGCTGGCTCAAGTTGTCCAGGAGAGGCCGCAGGCCATCCTGCCCCTTTTTGTACTCAGCGCCGCTCGGTTTGCTGCTTCATGTTCTGGTCTGCGTCTGCACATCCATGGCCTCTGCCTGCGCCTGTCGTTCTGTTCATCTGGCCCCTATTTGCGATAAATCCCTTTAGATCGGACGTACGACACTGTGCGCTTTTATGTGGATCTTTCGCCTTGGGGGGAGCGAGCAGCCTCTCTGGCGACGACCCCTCGCGGCAAGCAGCGGGGCGTCATGAGCGCATGCAGCTCGGAGTGGCATCGTAGCTCTCTAGAACATGGGCGTCTGATCTGCTCTCAGAGGTTGTCCCTGTACCGCCTTCGCCCTTTAACCATCCTCCCCTTCATCATTCCCCTTTACCTGCTCCTCCTCGCCGTCTTCCCCCTCCTATGTCGACCTCCATATCTTCTATCAAATTTGTGCATCAAGGGGGAGGACAAGTATGCGGAGGGTCAAGGACATAAGCACGTGCTGACGCTTCGCGTATTTCCGCCAGTCCATCCATGAACGGTTCCCACACCAGTGATTTTGCTCAGGGAAGTGTAAGAAGAAGGCAAGGACGTTGGTAACGGCCGTCAAGCCGAAGCTCGGGATCTGGCCGTCGTGATGCCCTTGCGGCCTCCTCTTGGGGTCCTCTTGGGCGAGATGCCACATCGGGAGCTGAGGGGCGAGAATACCAACATCACTAAACCGCCCTGGGCTTTGAAGGATTTCGGCCTCTCGAAGACATGCTGGACGCAATGTTGGGCCAACATTAGCCATACTGTGTCACCTTGGAGACATTAAAGGCCATGTTGAAGCCATTCCGGTCCAACCGCCTCCCGATGATTAAATTGAGAAGTCTTCAATCTTTCAAACACATGTGTGAGCTTTGGGCGGTGATCATTTTCACTGCCCCCGTCATGGCCATGCACATCGCCTGTCGAGGCCGCCTTGGGACACCCTTCGTGCGCTCTTGGTCGCTCTGACAGCCGTATTGGCACCCTCATGGCCTCTCTTGGAGCTCTTGTGGCCGATCTTGTAGCCATCTTCAGGCTACGGAAGGCCATCGGAAGCGAAAAGGCGACCTCACCGTGCGTTGTTTTTATGTTTCTGGCATCTCGGGAGCGATCCTGGAAGGCTCCGAGGCCACTTGGAGCCATTTCGTGGCTGCCTTGGGGTCTCTTGGAGTCAGATGTCACTTAGGACCGAAGGTGGCGACGAAGACACGACATGGGTTAGATTCGATCCGCCACGACCATGTTGTGCCAAAGGTCTTCCCAACCATAGCGGCTTGGAGGTCGTGAGACGTGGGTCGCATGGGTTGCATGGGATATGTCAGGCATCAATTCAATCACACAGTAGTGCAGCGTATTCACCGAGCCGCTTCCGTGGCATGGCGGACAACATGGGTTTGACACCAGGCATATCAATAGATCCCGCCTCGAGCGATGAACAACAACCCATGGGACTCTAGCGTTGAGGCATCGATAAGGAGTACCGAACTGATTATCAAGTGCAGGGCAGCGCAACGCGCAGAGCCCAGCCGTTTGCAGATTCTCAGCTTAAAGAGATTCACCAGGAAATGTCAAGGAGATGTGAGAACATGGTGCGAAACGACCTGCGCATGTTCCGGTGCGGTGCTTGCTTCCCGGCCGCCCAGCGGCCTTGCCACTGGCTCGCCCGCCGCTCCCCGGGGCCGCTCTCGCAGCTGCTGCAGCGCCGGGCGCACCGCGCCCCCCGGCCCGCCCCCCCCCCGGTTCGCGCCGCTGCCTCCCCCCCCAGCTTGGCGCCCCGGTTCTCCGGCCGCCCGCTACCCCCCCCGTTCCCCGCTTGCTCTGGCCATCGCTCGGACGTCCATTTCTTGTGTTTTTGTTTCGGTCTCGTGCGTGTTTTTTTTTCGCCAAATGATCAAGGATGCTCCTCGATGGTCCTCGCCGAAGGAAAAATGCACACGTCCGAGCGATGCCAAGTGCTGGGCTTCGCCCGCACTGCGACTGCTGGCCCACCCCTTGGGTGCATCGCTGTGCCGCCCCCCGCGACGGCCGCCGGGGGCTGCCCTGCAGCTCGGCCGCTCCCGGCCCGCTCGCCGCAGCCCCGCTGCGTGAGAGTGCCCTCGCGCCCGGTTCCCCCTCCCCGCGGTCGCCTCTCCCCAGTCTTCCCGCATGTTACCAGCCTGGAACATATCCCTATCCCTAAGCTGGGCATCGCCTCATCACAATGCCAATCTTAGGGATTCCCTTAGGTTTTGAGGGCGTATCCCTAAGATTGTCATCGCCTTTTGGCGTGTCAATCTTAGGGATAGGGCTAAGTTCGAGGCTGGTAAAAGCATGCGGGTCAATTCTCGATCATGTGCCTTGGTCTCGCCCAGACGCGCGCGCGGATTGCCTCTGCCGCGCTGCGACGTCACCGACATGTTGGGGGGTGGTGCGGATCTCAGGGGGGAAGCTGATTCGACCACCCTGACAGGCGCGACACAGATGATGTGCAGGAGCGAGGGTGTAAGAACATGGGCCTCTTCCCTCCCCCTTTCCCACGGCCTAGTTTGAAGTATGTCTTCTGCCAATTTGCGTCTTTCACTGCCTCGACTTTTCTCCTCTCTTTGCTCACTGCTCCGCCTCGTGAATTTCGTGCTTCTCCTGCTCTTCATCCTCCTCCTTTCTCCTCCTCGGAAACACGCTTCGCCCACAAGGTACTGACAGTTTTCCTCGTCCTTTTCCTTTCTCCTCCTCCTTCTCCTCCTCCTCCTCCTCCTCGCAGGAGGCCAGGCATGCATATTTCAAGTGTCTCGAGTATCAAAGCCAAGGATGACCGAGTGGGTCCCCCGCGGCTTTTCTGTGACGTTGCTGCCGTATTGTTTTCGATCGTTCGTTCACGCCTCCTCCCTTCATCCTCCCGATGGACCATCCCCGTCCGCCATCATCCTCCTGTTCCAGCCTCGCCAGTCTCCGCAGCCCAAGTCCGGCTCAAGGCCCACCGTGTCCTTCAAGCGCGCCCTGGACCCTCCCGGCTATGGCTCCCCGCCGCGGCAGCTTCCTGAGCGGGCTGGTCCTCTTCGCGACCTTCCTGGCGCTGTGTCAGGTGCACCAGGCGTTCGTGGCGGCGCCCCGGGCGCCGGCGACGAGGGAGGCGAGGGCTCTGGCGGCAGCCGCCGGCGTGCTCGGCCTGGCGGCGGGCCCGGTGCTCGCGGGCGGGAGCAGCCCGTATGACGAGAGGCAGCAGGAGGCCGCGAACGTCTTCGTCGGGCTCGTCGTCTTCGGCCTCTTCGCCGGGGTGACGATCTCGGTCGCCCTCAACAAGCTGTACACCGACGGGGCCGTGGAGAAGCCTGACAACACCCCGAAGGCCGTGGACGACAAGATCATCTAGGCTGGGGTCGGCGGATATCCACACGGCGTCCGTAGAGCATCGGTGGGACGGGAGGAGGAGGAGGAGGAGGAGGAGGAGGAGGAGGAGGAGGAGGAGGAGGAGGGTGAGAGGGGGAGGAGGGGAAGGAGGAGGGGGAGGAGGGGGAGGACGGGGAGGGGGGGAGGGGGAGTAGCGAGGGGCCCCCTGAGAGCCTCCGCCTCTCGCCCCCTGCCGCTTCTGCTCTCTGCACGCCGTGCCGGGGCCTCGATGCGTCTCGCCTCCGCGCGCCAGCTTCATGCCCTGCGCCGCTCCGCCCCGCTCGGCAGCGGTTTTCAGGGGCGGAGGTCGCCAGTTTTCGTGGACGAGCTGGCGCTTCGCCAGCGCCGATGCTATCATTTTGCGCACCCACGTAAAACAAAACTTCTCGAGCATAATCCGAGCGCCGGTAGCCGCTTCAGTCGGGAACCTCTTCAAGCGTCGGCATCGTCATCGCGGCCGCTGCCGCCGCTATTGTCGTCGTCATCAGTCTACAATTACACAATACGAATACTACTCTCCTCATTCCCTGGATGACGTCCGGAAGATGTTCGGCTTCCCCTCCGCGTATTGTTTTTTATACAGGATTCCTGGGAGTTGGGTTTTGCTTGGATTTGCTTTCAATGTTTTTCTCCCGCTGAAGCGCTGGCCTCATTTTCGGGCTTCCCCTCTTTCCGAATCGTGTTCCCGCTGCAGCGTTGGCCTCATTTCCGCGCTTCCGCTCGTTCCGAATCGTGCTCCCGCTGCAGCGCTGGCCTCATTTCCGCGTTTCCGCTCATTCCGAATCGTGCTCCCGCTGCAGCGTTGGCGTCTTCATTTCCAGTGCCATGCCACGGCATGCAATGCAATGCTATGTTGTGTTTCGTTGTGCAATGCCATGCCTTTAGCTGCAATGCTAGGATATGCAGTGCTTGACTACACAGTGCAACGCCATGCTATGCCACGCTACCCTCTTCAACTGCTTGATCTTCAACGCTTGTTCTTCAACTCCATGCTATGCCATGCAATGTATGCGTTGATCGTCAATGCTTTGATCTTCAACGGCTTGATCTTCAACGCCATGCATTGTTTCGATCTTCAATGCCATCTACGTTTTTATCTTCATCGCCGTGTTCTGCTCTGTGCCGTAGTGCGATGCCATACTTGGTGATGCGATTCTTTTCTACACAACGCCACGCCCTGCTATGCCGTGCTCTACGAGGCATCGCACACCCTCTCGGGATCATTGCCTTGCTCGACATCCGACTGGTGCGAATAGAGAGGAGATCCACGCCATGGTAAGGGATGGGAGGGAGGAGTAGGACGTAAGATATGACGCGAGCGCACCTAGCCTGCCTCCACCCCCTCGCCCTCTCCTCCTCTTGCAGCCGACCCTCCTGATTCCGTTCCTGCTGACCGCTTGCCCCCTTCCCGAAGTTCAGTGCCAGGCCCCGTCGCTCGGAGACTATATTTTATAGGGTCTGGCGATACTACGGGTTATGTGGCCCGCCTGCCCCACCCCTTCCCCCTCGGATAGTCTGACCTTGTCGGTTGCGCATGTCGGAAGGGGTACGTAGTTATGGTGCGCGCGGGCATACGTGGGATTGCCTAAGGCGAAAAGGTCAGGTTGCCGGCCGTCACCTCCACCACCCAAGCGGATAACCCGGGTTATCGCCAAAACGAACAAATGTCTTTTGGAATTCTTGACCTTCCGCTGGCCTTCGTGTCTGCCGCCGTCTTTGTTCGGCTTAATGAGGTTCAATTTGTTCCTCGCATGTGCATTCCGGCGTTGGCTTTTGGCCCGCTGGCAATTATCTTGCTTGTCGCCCCAAGCTTGCTACGACCCGCTCTCTGGAATCGTCCTTGGAGCCGCAGATCAAAAAAGTTAATCCCCACCAGTGGTGTCGATTATATCCATCGTTCCCCTGGCTGCTTCGCCCATGTCCGGTGCCTCCCGTGGCCGGACGCTCGCAGGATCAGTACTCATCTCTGGGGCTTGGGTGTGCGACTTTGGTGGCGCCGCCCAGTGCACCAGTTTGGACTGTGTCGGGCACCCATGGCAGTCTCCCCAGTGTATCGACTGGTAGCCTCCCTGGTCACACCCTGGCAGAGCGCCGCGCCATTTTGGCTGCGTCCCGTACTGCGGCTGGCTCATTCGCTGCAGCTCGATTCACACACCTGGTGACCCACTTCCCTGGTTTCCGCACGCTTGCAGCTCCCTGGCAGCCCCGGCAGCTTGCAGCCCCCACCCCCCGCACCCCTTGCAGCCCCGGCGCTGAGGCTTCCCCCGGCGGTAGGTCCTGTTCTGCTCCGCTCTAGGTAATTCGGCCCCCGCGCGGCCCGCTTGGACCTTACTCGCCGCCGGCGCTCTGGCCTGCGGCTGCTGCTAACCAAAAAGTAATTAGCCCCGCCAGTGTATCTACCCTAACTCAAGTCTTTTCCGCTGCTCGGCCATGCTGACGTTGCGCGGCCTCTTCCGCGTCACCTGCAATCAGAAAAATGCCCACCAGTGTCTTTTCGCCTTCCTCCTCCGCTTCGCTAGTTTAGGTCGTTGCTCGTGTGCAATATCCTGGACGCCGCCCGACTGTTCATCGCCGCGGTCGCGATCAAAAAAGTATCCCCACCAACCCATCGTGAAATATATCGCCAGGTGAATTTTTTGATCATGGAAGTGCAGAAGCATGTAGTGCAACAGCCGTCTTGGAATTGTTTTCTCGGAGGTCGCTCGGAGCCATCTTGGGTCTCTCTTGGGGCCCTTGTGGAGCCACCTAGGGCAATCGTGGGGCCGTCTTGGGGCTCTCTCGGGGGGTCTAGGGGCCCTCTTAGGGCTCTTTGGGAGGGTCTGGGAGGCCTCTTGGGGCCACTTTGGCGCCCGAGGCTCGAAAAAGGAGGGGTAATCAGAGTGAGGGGGCCGAACGGTCATTCACTGTCCCTGGGTGCGTGGCTGATGTGGAATTCCGCGGTGCGGATTCTTGTTGTTGTTTGTTGTTGTTGTTGTTGCTGCTGCTGTTGTTGAACATTATTTATTCTAAAGAATAATTATTGTTGGGCCCCCTGGTGCGCGCCCCCCCTGCGCCGCCTAGGCCGCAGCTACATTTTCATCATTTTCGTGAGGAAGCCTCAGAAAAGAGGGTGTGTACAGGATCCGGTTGTTTTGTTGTAATCCGCTTTCCCTTGCAAAAAACAATAGAAAATGACATTTCTTGTTCTAATATAATCAAATTTCAAGAATCCCTTGCAAAAAATAAGGTAAAGTGGACATTCGCGCGCGCAAGACGAAATCCTTCCAAAACCTTAGTGTTCGCAGCGATTTTAACATAAAAACATCAAAAAACCAATGGTTTTTCAACAAAAAATTGTCAAAATCTCATCCCGCGCGCTCTTGCGGATTCGTAGGAAACCCAACACTTTTTAAACATTTCTGTCAAACGGGCTTTTGCGAGCAACTTTTTCGAACTTCTGCGACAACGGTTGCGCACCTGCCAGGGCCATCATCCCTGTCAAATAATACCATGCGGGACACATTCGTTTTTTCTTCGCGCGCGCACGCCGAAATCTCCAAAAACCATTGGGCTTCTTAAGAATTTTAGCACCGCGCATCATAAAATCACACGAATCGCACCGTAGGTCCTCGAAAAACACCTGCACGACTTTTCAAAATTTCCACCCGCGCGCGCTGTCCGAATCCTAAAAAAACCAATGGTTTTCCAACATTTATGTTACATGAGCTCGCGCGAGCTACTTTCGCACGCTCTTGCAACGGGGTTCGCGCGCCTGCCAGGGGCCACAATCCCTTGCGGTTGCGCCATAGGTTGCGCCCTCGGCCGCCGAGAATAAAACGTCCCCCTATTGGTTGCGCCATAGGTTGCGCCCTCGGCCGCCGAGAATAAAGATGTGATCAACTATCTTGTGAGTACGTATCATGTGTATCATGTGTATCATGTACCATATGCATCATATGCAACAGATGTTCTGTGGAAGGCTTAACAACTTCTGTGGGTTAACAAGGCTTAACAACTTCTGTGGGTGTACGAACGTAGGCTTAACAACTTCTGTGGGTGTGTACTCCACGCCAGTGTAGTAGCCACGGTCGTCCGCAGGCCACGAAGTGAAGTGTCCGAACGTCATAGGGCGGGAAGCTGGGTGTGGGTGGTGGCGAAGAGTCGTGTGGATATTTGGTAGAGCTTGCACTGCCCCCCCACAAAGTGGGGGTATTGGCTGGCGTCGCATGAAAACCCGGGCACTGGTGAGAACACTGAGCGTTCGGGTAAAGTGATTGTTGTTGTTGTTGTTGTTGAACATTATTTATTCTAAAGAATAATTATTGTTGGGACCCCTGGTGCGCGACCCCCTCGCCGCGCCTAGGCCGCAGCTACATTTTCATCATTTTCGTGAGGAAGCCTCAGGTAATACGATGTCATCAAGATCCGGTTGTTTTGTTCCCCCCCGCTGTCCCTTGCAAAAAACACTATAAAATGAAATTTCTTGTTCTAAAATAACCAAACTTCAAGAATCCCTTGCAAAAAATAAGGTAAAGTGGACATTCGCGCGCGCAAGACGAAATCCTTCCAAAACCTTAGTGTTCGTAACGATTTCAACATAAAAACATCAAAAAACCAATGGTTTTTTTTTTTAAAAAAAAGTGTCACAATTTCATCCCGCGCGCTCTTGCGGATTTGCAGGAAACCCAACTTTTTTAAACATTTCTGTCAAACGGGCTTTTGCGATCAACTTCTTCACGTGCTTCGAACTTCTCCAACAACGGTTGCGCACCTGCCAGGGCCATCATCCCTGTCAAATAATACCATGCGGGACACATTCGTTTTTTCTTTCCGTGCGCACGCCGAAATCTTCAAAAACCATTGGGTTTCGTAGGAATTTTAGCACCGCGCAACATAAAATCATTTTTCGCACCGTAGGCCCTTCAAATCGTCGTCGTCGTATACTAAGCTAGTTTCCACAAGATGTTACCACAAGAAGTCATTGAAACCATGCGCCAGTGTAGT